TTCCCATGTCCCCATCCCTGTCCCCTCACCGTAGATGACATCCTGCCCTTTCATACATCCATGTGGAGCTGCTGCAGGAATGTGTGTCCCTGTCCCCTGTCCCTGTGTCCCTGTGTCTCCTGTCCCATTCCCTGTCCCATTCCCTGTCCCACTCCCATGTCCCCATCCCCTCACCGTAGATGACATCCTGCCGTTTCATGACGCCCATGCAGAGCTGCTGCAGGAACGTGTGTCCCTGTCCCTGTGTCCCTGTGTCTCCTGTCCCATTCCCATGTCCCCATCCCTGTCCCCTCACCGTAGATGACATCCTGCCATTTCATGATGTCCATGTGGAGCTGCTGCAGGACCGTGTGTCCCTGTGTCCCTGTGTCTCCTGTCCCATTCCCTGTCCCCTCTCCCTGTGTCCCATTCCCATGTCCCCATCCCCTCACTGTAGATAACATCCTGCCCTTTCATGACATCCATGTGGAGTTGCTGCAGGAACGTGTGTCCCTGTCCCTGTGTCCCTGTGTCTCCTATTACATTCCCTGTCCCATTCCCTATCCCATTCCCTGTCCCATTCCCTGCCCCATTCCCTGTCCCATTCCCATGTCCCCATCCCATTCCCATGTCCCCATCCCCTCACCATAGATGACATCCTGCCCTTTCATGACATCCATATGGAGCTGCTGCAGGAACATGTGTCCCTGTCCCCTGTCCCCTGTCCCTGTGTCTCCTATCCCATTCCCTGTCCCTTTCCCTGTCCCATTCCCTGTCCCATGTCCCCATCCCATTCCCATGTCCCCATCCCCTCACCATAGATGACATCCTGCCGTTTCATGACGTCCATGTGGAGCTGCTGCAGGAACGTGTGTCCCTGTCCCCTGTCCCTGTGTCTCCTATCCCATTCCCATTCCCATGTCCCCATCCCATGTCCCCATCCCATTCCCATGTCCCCATCCCACTCCCATGTCCCCATCCCCTCACCGTAGATGACATCCTGCCGTTTCATGACGTCCATGCGGAGCTGCTGCAGGAACGTGTGTCCCTGTCCCTGTTCCCTGTGTCTCCTATCCCATTCCCTGTCCCATTCCCTGTCCCATTCCCTGTCCCACTCCCATGTCCCCATCCCCTCACCGTAGATGACATCCTGCCCTTTCATGACATCCATATGGAGCTGCTGCAGGAACGTGTGTCCCTGTCCCTGTGTCCCTGTGTCCCTGTGTCCCTGTGTCTCCTATCCCATTCCCTGTCCCATTCCCATGTCCCCATCCCATTCCCCATCCCACTCCCATGTCCCCATCCCCTCACCGTAGATGACATCCTGCCATTTCACGATGTCCATATGGAGCTGCTGCAGAAACGTGTGTCCCTGTCCCCTGTCCCTGTGTCTCCTATCCCATTCCCTGTCCCATTCCCATGTCCCCATCCCATTCCCATTCCCATGTCCCCATCCCCTCACCATAGATGACATCCTGCCCTTTCATGACATCCATATGGAGCTGCTGCAGGAACGTGTGTCCCTGTCCCTGTGTCTCCTATCCCATTCCCTGTCCCATTCCATATCCCATTCCCTGTCCCATTACCATGTCCCCATCCCATTCCCATGTCCCCATCCCACTCCCATGTCCCCATCCCCTCACCGTAGATGACATCCTGCCGTTTCATGACGTCCATGCGGAGCTGCTGCAGGAAGCTGTTATCCACCGCCAGGCTCCACGAGTCCGCCTCGAACTCCCGCCCGTCGGCCTCCAGGTCGCTCAGCAGCTGGTTCAGGAGCACGTCAGGACCTGGGGGAGGGGACACGGAGGTGACATTCGGGGTTCCCCCCCCCCGTGTCCCCCCATCCCTCCCGGCGTCCCCTCCATCCCTCACCTTCGTCGATGAGCGACTCCACGGAGAGCGTCCGGTTGCGCACGTTGAGGGAATCCGTGGACTGGGACAGGATTCGGCGGATGCCCAGCGGGGACTCGTCGTTGAACGTCCTTGGGGGGGTTGTGGGACACACGATGGGCACGTTGGGGACACCCCCAGACCCCCCCCTGGACCCTGAATCCAGTCCTTACCCCGAGATGTTGGTGGTGGAGACGCTCTTGGACAGGGACAGGGAGGGGCGGCCCCGGCGGGGGCCCAGCAGCGTCTGCCGGAGGCTCTCCGAGGGGTAGATGGCGGAATTGGGGCGTTCCCGGACGGCATCTGGGATGGGGACATCGGGGGGGGGGCGGGGATGGGACACCCCGACATCCCCCGGGGGGTGGGGGGACACCCCCAGCACAGGGGGAGGGGAGGGGAGGGGAGGTTTGGGAAGGTTTGGGAAGGTTTGGGAAGGGAAGGTTTGGGAAGGGAAGGTTTGGGAAGGGAAGGTTTGGGAAGGTTTGGGA